TAGCAAATTTTGCCAGTTAAAAGCACATTTTGCTATTTTTATCTTTTAAGTGCTTACAAATACGCCGTTTACAATTCTAAGAACTTACTTATCTAAGTCAACTAATCAAACGTTTGTACAGTAAGTTTGCATGCGTTTGCACGCTTATTTCAAAGCAACTATTCATTTTACAGTTAAATCTAACAGCGGCATCATTTGACTTATTATGTTTTAGAAGAAATTTGACAACGAATTTGAATACAAAACTCCTCAAGAAGACGGTACAGTCAGAATTCATGTAAAGAAACTGCTTCATCGATACTACGCTCCATTCTATGATGCAAAACACTTTTTTACAAATTTGATGAATTTTATTCCCATAATGCATTGGTTGCCTAAATATTCGTCCTCAAATTTGATACTCGATTTTATCGGTGGCTTGACTATTGGTATTATGCATGTGCCCCAAGGTCTGAGAGTTTACTACTTGCATTTTCAGTGCATTTTGATTTTTATGTAAAAAATTAATGTAGTTATTTCAGAAAAACTTTTTTGTAATATTCGTTATTTGGCAGTTTTGTGAGTACAGACTTTACTTTTGTATGCAAAGTCAATGCATTAGTAATAGAATGTATACAAATTCAGCTGGTATTATTGCTTTGTTATTCAGAATGCACTTTTCTTCAAGATTTTTAAAATTTTGCGTGCTTCCAGGAATTGCGTATGCTTCTTTGGCTCAAGTTCCCGCTGTAATGGGATTGTATACATCTTTCTTTCCTCCGTTGTTTTACGCTATTTTTGGCACAGCTAGACAAAATTCTCTTGGTTTGTCAGATAATTCCAATTCTAAAAATAAATTTATGGTCTAAGGAAAGTGAACTAAACTGAATGAGGCATTAGTGTTTAGTGACTAGTGAAAAATTTGATTTCAAATTATTTATGCAAACATTTGTGCGATTTGTTTTTGATTTTTGATGAAGAAACAGAATTGATATTTAGGTGCACAGTTTGTTGTTTCCAAAAAATTTTCCCTCTCCTATCCTACAGTAATGTAGTATACAACATTTGTTTATATTTCAGTCATACATTTGCCAGACATATTGATTATTTGGATAAATTTTGAATTTTAAAATTCATGCCTAATGATTATTTATATTTTTCAATAAAGAAAAAATTGCAGGAACATTTGCTGTAGTAAGTTTGATGGCAGGTGCAGTAGCTAGTCGGAAGGTAGATTTATGGAATCAGATTCATAAAACGAGCTTTAACTCTTCTGATATTATGATGGTGATGAATTCAACATCAGTAACAACTGTTGACGTCAATGTCATTTTGGTCTTTACAATTGGAATTGTTCATGTAAATGCTTCCATACATTGTATTTAATTCATTTGAGTGAAATTTTGAGCATTTCAAGAAAGTAGACAGATTTCACTCATTATGTCTTTACTTCGTTTTCTTCAATATTTGGTATGAAAAGTGAAAATGAAATCACAAATGTTACTTATCCACGTGATAACAAACATATTGTTTAGAAGAGTGTAAATTCAAACTTTTTCATAATTGTCATTCAGATAGTAATTGAGTAATTTCAGATAATTATGGGTCTTTTGAGATTGTCATTTGTTGCAACATACTTCTCAGATCAAGTAGTGGCTGGTTTCACTACTGCTGCATCTATGCATGTTCTTGTAGCCCAAATGAAATATATTTTCAATCTACCAAATTTGCCGATGAGAAGTGGTCCTGGAGAACTGTTTTTAGTATCTTTTTTTTTCATTATTGAAGTTAAGATATAAAATATTCTTGATGTAAAATACAAGATTTACACAATGAATTCAATCAGCCTAATCAAATAAAGGTTCAAAAAGTAGTCGATAATGTCTTCTGATATTTAGTTTGAAATTGGAAGTGAATGTTGAAAAATCTGTAAGAAAATAACAGCAATCCCAATATCATTCAAATTTATTTTGCTATGATATAGTATGAAGTTTGCAGAAGTGTTACGATATACTTAATCATATAATGTCTTCAAATCCTTATTCTATCGGTATTTCATTAATTAGCATTGCATTTCTTCTACTCAGCAAGTTGCTTCTTGCGCCATTCATCAGAAAAAAATTTAAAATAACAATTCCTATACCGTTCGAACTTCTTTTGGTATGCTATATTGTCAGCATTTGTAATTTAAAAGTTTATGAATTTTGATATAAAAGTGATTTTGACTAAGTAAATTTTTTTACTAAATTGTTCAATTCTTTTACATTAAGTACTGATAAAATCAAAAAATGCTTTTCGATGCAAAATCGTAGAGTTTAGTTGTGCTTCAACATTCTAGAATAAATGAATGAATGTGTTATTATTTTAAATCGGTTTTGTAACTGATAATTTTGTGCAATTTCAGATAATTATTGTTACTTTCTTTTCTACATTTTTTCAATTAGAAAAAGATTTCAAAATGCGAGTAGTTGGGGAAATTCCTACGGGGTATGTTTTGTATTATCAATTATTTGTGTTGATTAGTTTTTATGTAAGATTTAATATTTTAAAAATGACAAAGTTTACTCCATAGATGTGACACTTTGAAAATGTTACTTGTTTTTCAGACTACCAAAACCACGTTTACCACGTTTTGAAATGATACCTCAAATAATGGGTGAAGCGATTGGAATCGCAGCAGTAACATTCGCAGTACATATATCTTTAGCTAAAATATGCGCGAAAAAATTAAAGTACGACATCGATGTTGATCAGGTGCGGATTAACTAAGCTCTTAGATCAAAATTAAGATAGTTACCTAAATACAGGGCTATTTAAAATAAATTTTTGTCAGTTTTAATTGCATCTTATCTCAGAAGGAAATTCTAAATGAATATCTTAAATTTTTGGACTTTTACAGGAATTATTTGCAATAGGTTTAGCGTCGATATTTTCCAGTTTTTTTTCGGTTTTTCCTGTGGCGTGCTCATTAGGTCGAACGATGGTGAATATCTCAGTAGGTACCAAAACTCAGGTATTTCTTTACTTTTAAGTTCATGAGTTTTCAATCATTGTTTATCTTATTAATCAATAAGAAATAGTGGCAATCTTTTGATGTCATAATATCAATTATTAATGTAACATGTAGGCAACTTACCATTTCAAACCCTAGTATTAGATCATAATTCTTATGTAGTAGATGATCTGAAATTTTTTTTGAACTGTTCAAAGCATTTGTTCACGTAAATTTTTTAATATGCTTGGATATACTATTGGAAAATATAACAAAATTCTGAAGGTACTAAGAATATTCAAAAATATTTAGAGAGTAAAGTATGTTTCAGCTTTCTTCAGTATTTTCTTCGGCCTTTTTACTGGCAGTGTTACTTTATTTTGGTCAATATCTCTATCAATTACCAATGGTACGTTCGTTCTTGACCTGCTTTTGACGATTTTTTATTTTGCCACAATTTGACTTTTTAAGATTATTGCTAATTATTGCAGAATGTTTAAAATGCATTACTTAAACAAATACAAGTAATTTTTATAGCAGTACTCATCATTCAAATAACGCAGTCTCAGCTCTTCTTAAAAATGAGCGCAAAATGTCAATTTTTAATAAATTTCATGATGTTTTAGTGCGTTTTGTCGTCTGTCATCATTGTTGCTCTACGAGGAATGTGGAAGCAGTTTTTAGACCTGAAGCGATTGTATTCTTTATCAATCATTGATTTTGTGAGCAATAGTTTGATTGAATTTTTATATGATTTCACTGGATTAATTAAAAAATATATACTGTATTTACAGTAGTACTGAATATTGTCTGTACATTTTGAAATTATTTGAATGTTTCAAAAATTTTTAAAAAATTCATTTCATAGATTTGTTGTAACTTCAGACTATATGGGTGACCAGTTTTGCCGCAACAGTTTTCGTAGACATTATTACTGGCTTGATCATTTCAATCTCTTACGCATTACTTACAACTGTATTCAGAACTCAGTGGTAAGCAAACATTTTTGATAGTTTTGGAAGAGAATCAGTAAAGTATTGGATTAACGGAAAAAAAGTACGCAGAACGAATGTGAATGTTTGGTTTGACGGTACCTTAATGGTTTCAGGTCTAATTACCATATCTTGGCAAACTTGGCTGGTACCAGTGACTACCGAGATAATAGTCGTTATCACAACGTCAATGTTCATACGGTAGGGACATTTTTCTGATGAAAAAGATTATGTTAAGTGAAACAAAGTTGTTTTGGAAGCTAAATGAACGAAAATAAGGTGTATTTTGAGATAAAAAGTCGCCTACTTTAATTTTTTATTCCTTAATAAAAAAATTGAAAATTGAATGTTTGAAATAAACTTCTTAACAATGAATCAAACGATTCAGGCTGAAGTTAAATCAGAAAGTTTGAATGCATTGTTAAATCTAGAAGAATCTAAAAATAAAACTCAGTCGTTAAATCTTTTTTCGTTTTTATCTGTTTTTAAGATTCATAATCCCATCTTCTTTTGTCATTTTTACCCTATCATTGATTTCTGCTATCACTAGATGAATGCTTGATTCTTTTGTCAGTTTACTATTAGATTCAATTATACTGAATTTACTTTATTTTTTACAGAACATCCGCACATTGCGTTTCGATGCTCCACTGCTGTTCCTGAATGTAGAGCGATTCAGACATTCGATTCTTAAAGTAGTCTTTCATTATTTCTGAAAATGCCATTCTAGTCTTGCTTTATCCACAATTTGATCTCTTGCACAATTTGATCTCATTTTTTGCAATCTTTATTACGTGTAGATATACCAAAACATAGTTCTGTCTAATTTTCCTAATTTTATTCCTTTCATTTTAAATTATTTCAAAAATTTATTTTGAATGCCAATAAAATAACTAATAAGTTTTCGTTAAATAGAAAAATTCAGCTTCTCATCATTTTTGAATTATCCTCAATCTAGTCATTGCCCAGTCTTGTTCATAAATTGACGTTGATTTGCTGTCATTATCAATTGAATTAAATAAATAATTATTCACTTCAGGAAAAGTATTTCTTATATCTATCCCATTTCGCGAGTTAAAACTTCACTGTTTGGTAATATTGTGTGCAAAATCATTTTGTCCCTAATCTGTTATTCATTCCAAAAGATTACCGTAGGACTGTCCAATTAGGTAATTTTAAATAATTCCTTTTATTTATCAGTTGGTTAATTATTTTTAGAAAAAAATTTTTTAATTGATTTCTTTAGACCTTTAAACTGTTTCAGAATTTTTTAAATTCATTACACAATAATTTTTTAAATTCATTACACAATTCTTATATTCCTTTTTCTTGTTGATTGTGAACTCCAAACTTTGAGTTAATGGAATGATAGCTGGGCTGTAATTGATATAGCTAGCTAACATACCTGATACTTGTGTAGCTAAGATTCAGATTCACAGAATATAATCTTTCTTGATATTCTTCTATTGTAATCTGTTTGAAATGCTCTCGCATACTAAATCATCTATTGCAAGTTTTTTGTTCTGATGAAGCAACACGAAGGATTGCTTTCTATACTCTTAATTCTGGTGTGCTTTTGATACAAAAAACTTCTGTTAATATTGAGCTACTGATATTTCAAACTACCACACAAACAGTCTTCAATATGTAATATCTTTGTTGAAACAGTCTTCAATATGTAATATCTTTGTTTAAGATTACTTAATTAAAAGTGCTGCTAAATATGATTTTCACACTCTTAACTTCTTAACATTTCTACTAGAGGCTGTATGTGTATTAAATATATTGTAAATGAGTTGCTATTGTAGACAATGAATAATTGGGAATGTTCAGAGCAATCAGAATTGGAATGTTCAGGGCAGTCAGAACAAGAAGTACAAAACTTTAAATGTCGGTTCGATGATGTCATTCAAGTCAAGCTCACTTGCGAAGTAATGACTTTAATTTTAGTACTCGAAATATGTGTTGAAGAACTATGCAGGATTCGTTCATTTACCCCCATAAGTAGATAATTTATAATTGTGATAAAATGGAATACGGTAGTGTTTTTTACTGAACGTCGAATACTTGCAGTAATTTTATATAATTACTAATCTGAAATCTGAATTGGATATCAGTAAATAAAATACTTTATAGTTTCACTCTTACCTTGTATTACATCAGCAAGAGTGAAAATGGATTATAGTAGCATACTGAATTCAAATCCTTCATCACAATCATTTTTTTCTTATCATTGTTATTGAAATATTGTCTGAGTGCTTTATATAACTTTCTATTTTAAATGATAGTAAAAATTGGGCATTAATAATTGAACTATTACTTTGCAAATAATTTAAGTGCATATATTTTGCAAAAAACAAAAAAAAATTCAGAAGAATGCTGCAAATGGTCAAATTTATTGCAGTATTTTTATTTTTAAATAAAATAACCAGAATCTTTGACTATTCAGTTAATTAATGGGAGTTTTGTTACAGAGCATAACTTAGACTCACATTGATTTCAGCCTAAAGTAGTTGAAAAAAGTAGTCCAAAAGTCTTCCGCCATCTTATTGTAGACTGCAGTGGAATGACAGCAGTTGATTTCATGGGTGTTAATGCTTTGAAAGAGGCAAGCATTTATTACTGTTATTATTATTATTATTATTATTATTATTATTATTATTACTATTATCATTACTATTATCAGTAATCAGTGTACTTGATCAGTTTTCGGATTTATTGTTTGCTTTTGTCAATAATGAACAAGTAACAAAAAAGTATTTATCAGTAAAGATTAGGCACTATAATTATGCGCTTTAGGTATTCATTCCAGAAACTGTTCGTCTTCTTAAATGGAATTCTTTTTTTAACTTTCAGGTTTTTTCTGAAATGCAAGAACAGAAGGTGCTGCTCTATTTTGCTGCTGCAAAAGGTTTTGTCATTTCTAACAATACTTTTGCAAAAAATAAAATGCAGCTATCTATCTGCTGGATATTGAAAATTACTCAGAGAACAAAATTACTGGGAATTTTAGCTATAATCTTATCATGCTTAAGTATGTAGTTATTAGTTTCAAAATTAAATTATTTTTAATACCAGGGATTATTGATTAAAATTTATTGTATATGACTTGTTGTGATAGCTATCATTTGCAGCACCGGTTCGAGAACTCTTTGAGTCTTGCGGTTTCTTTAAGCACGTCTCGAAAGAAAACTTCTATCCTACCGTTCATGATGCTGTATTAATCGCTCAACAGAGAGAAAAAAAGTGAAAACTAGACATCACTTAATCACACATTACCTAACAGGGAGTTGGTCAGGTCAGATTCTTTTACCCTTTACCCTTTACCCTTTACCTTCTTCAACATATTCAGATCGTTTCTCTTCACATATATTGAATCAGATATATTCGTTGTGATCCGTTAATGTAATAATTATTCACTGCCTTTCCACACCACTGAATTTGAGATGTAAAAAATGATCTTGTCATGAGTTTACATGCAATCTTCTATAGACGACTTACTACAACAGTCTATCAATTAATGAATAAATAATGAAAAAAATCGAACAGACTTATCACTCACTGTCTATTTTTCTTTCTTTTAATCATAATTTCCGTGTCTATAAGCGTAGAAGATTATCTAAATACGAGATATAAGAAATTGAAAGCCGAAGAATCTCAATTTTTGATAATTTCTTGTTGACAGGCAATGTGGGCAATAATGCCCGCAGTTTCGCGAACGCGTTATTGAACGATTCCACTCGAATGCTACAAATAATCTCATTTTCATCATCAACTACAAACTTCAAATCTCTAAAGAATTATAAAAATTAAGAGACATAAAATGAGTGAGCATCTGTATGCAAAAAATAATTATTTTGAATAAGTCAACTTTATACAATTAATTTTATATGATTGCGGGCAATTTTAAAATTCGAAAAGTGCTAAAGTAAGTAATTAAAATGCAATCTTGTTTTCTGAGTATTTCATTGAAGAATAAAAAGTATAGACATAAACTAGCTAGATTACTTTTCATACACAGAAAGCGAAAATTAGCAGAATATGAATATTAACTTAACAAAATATTTTGATTAAAAAGAATTCTGAATTTGATGTTAACAGATTGGAATCAAAATT